TCAACCAAATTCAAAAATTTCTTCGCCCAAATGCTTCAAATAAAGTCTAGATTTGTTTTAGCGAAAAAAAAATTTGGGGGTTAGGTGCACTTTAATTAAAGAGCTGTCTGTTTTATGTATTGTTTCTAATAAGCCATTGACTGTTGTTTGTATATTTTTCATAATAGACATGTGACAGAATCTATCAGACACTTGTGCAAGTTTTCTATGCATAATGCTATGTTATGTAGCACGAGTGGTGTGTTCAGTAAAGTTGTGATGCTTTTGGAATCTGAGGCACAGAACATTGACATCACCTGGGCAGGTACTCTCCATTGACTACAGTGTATCTACAACTGTTTACAAGCTTCATGGCACAGTAGTTACTAGGGTGCAGGGGTGCCGCAGTCATGATAGCGCTCACCTCCTTTCAATGTGTCAGTTGTCCTCGCTCCTCAAAAACCAACACTCTAAATTCTTATTCAATCTTGGTGCACAAACACTTCAGAACAAGTTCATTAAAGCTTTTCCATGTTTTGTGGGTGAATAAATTACATTTAATTTCCCTTCCACATTTTCTCACATTGCGTTTCTGTAGCTGGTACATATAGCTGGTACCTAATTTAGCTTTCAATGGTGCTGTTTTCCAAATTAATAAATAAATAAGGAATATTAGCCAAGGGAACAGTGTACTGTCTTGGACCGGCTGGTAATCTGTGGCAAGCTCCTGGATCACAGGATACCCAACCTTTGTAATTACTTATAGCAATAAATGTTTCTTATCAGTGTCACTAATCATGTTGTAAATACTCTCTTTTAGAGTCCCTGATTGGTATGCTGGAAGCCATTGGTGCCCATTCTGTGACATCATGTGAACTCAAACAGATGATTGGTCTCTTCACGCCTCTTGAGAATGGCACACAGGTTATTGACTAGTGTACTCCTGTCTGTGAAATTCTGTACCGTCAAACTTCTCCTTACAGAGGCATCCATAACATGGACACCTCTATATTAAGGACTGGATAGTTAGCTTAGTCCCACCAAAACCAGAATTCATATATTGATCTCTTCCTGTATAATGCACCCACGTCTATAACAAGGACACTCATGTCTGCCTTTTTCGTGTCCATATTAAAAAGGTTCGACTTTTTTTCTTGGTCAAGCAATCAACCTTGATTGCTTCCCCCAGAGTACAAGACACCGACTAAACAAGTGTCACAACTGACTGTCTATTTAAAGAAAACTTGCTACCCTCATTCAGACAATTTCACTAGACAAATGGCTGACACTCAAAGTGTTCAAACCTTTTAAATACTAATCTAGTTTTATTCCTGATCGACAGATTCCTTTTGCTCACAGACTTCTCCAAGCTCTTGTGAAAATGTCATTTAGTAGTAGCCGCTTGAGAGCAAAACATTTCTTTGACCTACACCACCCCTCTGCGGTGAGTATTGCCATTTGCAAGGTTAACTTTTTTCAAACCTCTGGAAGCTTCATATCCGGACTTTTAGGACAGTACGGGCCACTATTGCACATTGAATGATTAAGATATTTTTTTATTTGTTTTCTTCAGGGTATCTCAGTTCCAGGAATCCAAAAATGGTCTGGAAATAGTTTTACATTCCATGCCTGGGTTTGCCTGGATCCAGTTGAAATCAAAGAAAGGAGCAATTTAAGCATGGAAAGAAAGATATTTCACTATCGGCGAAATCTTTACAGGCAAGACATTGAAATCAATTCACAATAGCACGATTTTCTTGCAGGGAACACCTTCGCTTAACAAAATGGATTTTATTGAAATCAAGTCTCGAAAGAGCTTACTTTGTTTTCATCTTCACAGCTTTTTTACCACTTCTGGAGTTGGTTTAGAGGCGTTTTTTTCCTCAACTGGGCATCTAGTTGTGGCAGTGTGCAACAGAAAGGAATACATGACTGTGACTGTACCAGTTTGTCAGCTGTGTGACCAAACCTGGGTATGTTCTCTATAGATCTTTGTTTCTCTCGTATTGATAATACAGCTGAGTTGGATTACTTCAGAAGATGGGGCCGGGCTCACCTGAGTGAATATAGTGGAATATCAAGTTTTATACGTGTATCTGGCCACGAACCTGAGACAAGAAATGCGTTGGTATTACCGTTGGCTGTATTGAAGAGTTCTCAAATTGAAAAAAAAAAATTGTCTGACAGACCTTTTGTTTGGACCAAATGAAAGTGGTTCTCTCAGCGAGGTGGTCGTAATTGGGATAACACAGTGCCTCAGGCCCCGTCCACACTACGGCGGAGAACTTTGAAAACGTAGCTTTATTTCTACGGTTAGGCCTGCCTACCGTCCACACTAATCCGTCCCAGAAACGGAGCATTTTGAAAACGCTCTCCACACCGGAGGAATTTAAGAACGCCGGCTTTGCGTCTTAGTGCGGACGGAAGACATTTTGAAAAGGGAGCTTTTCGAAAACGATGACGTCACGATAATCACGTGATTTCCCTGACCGAGTTTTCCTCAAACACAAATTCAAAACGACCGGTGATTATTGCGTTTTCAAATTTCTCCGGCGTAGTGTAGTCGGAAAACATGGTATGCGTTTTCAGAGTGAAACCTCCGTTTTCAAATTTCTCCGGCTCGTTGTGGACGTGGTCCGGCTTACAGTACTCTGCGCATTAATTATGTCAATGAGCCTTACCCTTGGCCGGGTCAGATGCAGCCGTGAGTTTTGTGATAAGTCTTTGGAACAGGGGAGAGCTGCTCGAGACTCATAAACAAAGAAGACGCGGAGTTCATTGAATTTGTGCTGACATTTTTGTAACTGGATCTTTTTTGGGGTAACCCGAAAACACTGACCCTTGGTCCGCGGACCCCCACTACGGACCGGGTCCGCGGACTACCTATGGACCGGTCCATGGACTACTCCTACGGACCCCCTCTATACGGACCACCCCAAAATAGTGTAAAAATAATAAATAAAGATTTCACTTATGGGTTGTCTGATAGATTACTCGTGTCGGTGATTTTTCAAGTGTTACACTGTGCGAATGTAACAGACCCTCCCCCAAAAACATATGCCTAAAAGCTGTTTTCAGCGTAAGGAGATGCCGATGGTAAGAAGGAAAGTTCTTACCTTCCTTTCCTAGCTCAATCTGGCTATGAAAGATATATTTTTAGGCCTTGTATTCTTGTTTGTATCTGTTATTCCGCTGAGCAAATTGTGAAGCCTGGAACGAGTTCACGAATCCACGGGAGAATGGGCTGAACAATGACAGAGGGGAAAAAGCACAAATTTCGAGGCTTCCCGGAGGCTTCCCCGTCTTTCATATACTTTATGGCGACAGCAACGGAAATGGCAATGTGTAATGATAGAAATTGCGCCCGAGCCTGAATCCAGGTCTGTTACATTTCCACAATGTAACGTTCGAAATTTCGCCGTCACGAGTAATCTATTAGACAACCCGTAACTGAAATATTTATTTATTATTTTTATTCTATTTTGTGGGGTGGTCCGCAGAGGGGGTCCGTAGGGGTAGTCCGTGGACCGGTCTATAGGTTGTCCGCGGACCCGGTCCGTAGTGGGGGGTCCGCGGACCGGGCCTCGGTGTTTTCGGGTTACCCTCTTTTTTGTTCTCTCTACATTTTCTGTAGCATTCTGTTGCGATTGCGCATCTTCCTTCCCGTCGTCCTTTTGGTCAGAGCACAGTGTCTGTGTATGTTGATGGTGCACTCATGATCAATTGTCCAATGAAGTTCCCTTCTCTCTCAGAGGTAAACACCAACAGTTATTAATACATGAAATATCTTTACCGTTGTTTGGTAGGAGCAAGTTAATTGACGTGGAAAGAATTGCTGTAAAAGCTTTGTTAAACTCGCGGGCCGGTCCAAGAAAATTTCTCAGTGAACCGTTGAAGATGCATTAAAAACAAGTTTTTTACGTTTCGAGGGCTGTCTTGTCCTACATAAAAGAGTTGAAAGCAGTTCCGACAAATTTCAGTGTTGTTCGCCACTTTTAAAGTAGCGAATCACCAGTTAAAAGTGGTGATTAGGTGGTAGGTAAAGACAAACAGATTTTATTTACGTATGCGTGGAAAATCAGTTGACCCGATGCGCTAATGTTACATTCAATTCTTTCTACTTTTTGCGCCTCCTCTATGAGAAAGATTCCCGCGAGAATCCCAGCTTTTTTATACGTCTGCTGTTGTTTTAGGATCTCGCAAGTTGTCAAATTGGATCTGGTGACCTGCAGACCATCTGTACACCAAAAGACCTAGAGGACACTAAAAGCGCTCCCCGAAAGTTTACGTTCTCTTTTCCAGGGTTATCTGAGACCGTTTCACCCCACTGTGCCACCATCGCTGCTGGGTCACAGCATTATGTGTGGGGCATCCCAACATCTCTGCAGGGGCAGTTAGGCCCCGTATGTGTGTTCAGTGAAGGACTCCAGGAGAATTACATCACTGCGTTACATGCTGCAGGTAGGTCTTTCCACGTGATTTCAAAATTTACGAGTTCGTGATCGGTCTGGATTTCCCCGGTCTTAACCACCCTTGTTGTTAACATAATTACGTTGGCGAAGGGGCGATGTCACGGATCTTAGCCAATCTTAAGGGGAACACTCGACCTCTGGGTGCAGTCTTTTATTACGTCATGCGCAACCAACATTTTTTTTAATGGTAGGTGTGTTAGTTGGTTGTTTGCAAATGGTTGGTGTGTCTGTGACTTGTCGCCTGACTCACCAGAAGTCTGGAATGACGGTGGGAGGCCTGTGGGTTGGTTGGTTACTCTAGTCATCAAAACTAGTATATCTTGCTCTTATTTCAGGCCCAAATAATCTTAACCTGTTTCAGCCAGTTGATCCGGCCAGCTCTACACAGTCTGCTCTTAATGACTTATCTCTTAAACTGGTTCTTTTCTACAATTCAAAGGTGAGTATACCAAAGGACATTACTTGGTTCCACTGTAATGCCATCTTGCTGAAGGCTTAATTGTTAGTGTATAAGGTTCTAGATTTACTTGTTGTAGAGTTCGTGCTCTGGCCTGAGTCATTATGTCGTGTTCTTGAACAACTTGAGACAGTTAGGTCGTGTTCTATTGGGATCAACCGTTTATGGTTGGTTGGGTTTTTTCGTGTTCTATTGGGAAAAACCGTTTTCGGGTGGTTTGGTTCAGTGATCAACTTTTTCAACCGGCCTCAAACCAGGTTGAAACTGTTGAAAAAACATTTATGTGATTATGTGTAAAGGGTTGTCTAGAGAATAATGGACAAGGGATCCTAGGGAGATATCACACGAAACCAAGAGAATTAGAAAATTACAAACGTCACGTTTTTGTAAACCGCAGCTCTGGGTTTCTAAGCTGAACTAACAGGTGCTTCATGGAAAATGAGCCCACCCTTTTAGGAGAGAAGCGAAACTTGTGGAGCACAAGCTAGCATGGAAGAGATACTCACTAGGCCAGCAAACATGTAATACTTAGACAATTGAGAAGACGTCGTAACTGTTTATAGGCTGCACACTGGAAGCCGAAATTCTTAACCAGAGAACGTTTTTCTTAAGATGATTTGTAATCCTGGTTACTCTTCCATTTTTAATTCGCGAATTGCGATAGCAAATTACGAGTTGTAGTGGGTGTTTAGATTATTAGACATGACTCACTGTTGTTTGATTTCAGGCTGGTCGTGATCACATGTGCAGTGATTTGACGCCGGTACAACCAGGACGAGTTCAACTAGATGGCAGGTAAGTTGGATATCTTTTCTTAATATGTGACTGCGCTTTTAAATGAAAAACTCCTTACTCACAGTTATGACTTCAGTATTTCCTGTGCCATTTTTCTCTCCTACACAGGTTAACTGGTCATAGATGTACCACCTGGGACATGAAGGTATAGAAGACTTTGTTATCAAAAAACATATCAAAAAACATTATTTCCTACTTCTAGTTCAAAACCTTATCACTTCATGCTACTCCTTCGAGATCTTGGGTGCGTTCTGCCAGTGTGAGCCTGTAGTCATACCGTCGACCACCTCTCTACAGCGTCCACATATTTTCGCCCCAGTTGAGAGATTTATTCTTATTTTAACCTCCAAACAATGGCCACCTCTCCACAATGGCCAGTAAACTCTGCCTCCAGTGTGGCTGTTGTAGAGAGGTTCGACTGTATTATGTAGAACGCCGGAAGCCTTCATTTTGGTAAATGTTCAATTTGTTCCAATCAGTGGGTTTTTTTTTTATTTTCAGGACGTTCTTCGCTGTATCGGTGGCATGAAGATATTTTTGCCGTTGTTGGAGCAGATCTCAAATTTTGAGCCACCGAAGCCTTCACGTATCGACAGCAGTGAACAACTGGAAGTGTTTGATTTGGAGCAGTCAGAAGCGAAAACGGGAGATGCCATTGAAAGGTACATCCAAGCTTCAAAAAACTTCTTCTGATTGTTTAGTTTTTATGTCTCATTTTCGACCTTGTTTTCTTCTCAGACGACCATAAAGAGAGAGAAATCTTACCTTTGAACTTTTCAGTTTTGAACTACAAATCAAGAGGTTTTGATTGAGCTAAGCGAGGGTCTACTGAGTTGTGTAGGGCAAGACACTTTACTCTCACTGTGCCTTTCTCAGCCAAAGTGTATAACTCTGTAAATTATGGCTTATTGATGGGAGCAGTCAAGCAAAATAGGGGAGGGTGGATTCTGCGATTTACTAGCATCCCTTCCTAGTCGCCTCACGTTACGGAAGCTCTCCAGGAGCGTTTTAACGGTCTGTTAACTTGTAGTCTCTCGTCTTCTGATCTTGTGATGTCTGTCAATTTGTTTAAGGCACCTCAGCTCCGGTTCAGAAGCAGAATCCACCCAATCAGAGACAATTGAGCCCGCAAACAGTTGGCCCAGCGGCTCTGCTAGTGCTAGCCCTCCGTGTGCAGAACCGGAAGAGGAATGGGTCTACATCAACGATAACTACGATCTTCGATTTTACAAGAAGGAAATTTACAGACTCTGCAAGTCACGCAACTGTAATGGCGTTGCATTGTTCATGTTTTTACTTTTAAGTATTTTGAAAGGACACGACGTAAAGGACGAAGAATTTGCAGAAACGCTTTGTTACGTCGGTAGCATATTACGAAACATGGACGTTAAGCTCATAAACGTTCAAGTATTGAGATCGTTACAAGCACTGGTGGAATGCGTGACGAACGAGACTGTGTTACAAAGTGTTTTCGAGAATTTGTTATTTGATTTCCGCATTTGGAGCTCTAGTGAATTTAACGTGAGGATCGGACACATTCAATTCATATCCACGCAGATCAAAGATTCTCCGCAGATTTTTCGTACGGAATACGGTGTGAGATTTTTTCTTGATGTAATCACTCAATACTATGCAGAGAATTCACAGATGGGTAATTCCGCTGGCCGGAACCGAGAGAATGAAGTACAGCTGACTCAGGAGGAAGTAAAGATTATCAGAGCGTCGTTGTTAGGTTTGTTTACCATGGAAGCGTATATCTTAACGACTGTAACAGAGACATTTTTGAGGCCCATTCAAAGTTATAGGTGGTTTGCAACCATTCCCGAGAGATTCAAATGACAAAGACCCTGGCATCCACCTTGGATGACAGAAACAATGGTTATCCAACATGGTGGCGATGACGTCAGTTGCAATTAACGATCTATAGTCCCAAAACAAAGACAGTCACGTGGCTCAGTCACGGTTACATTTCCAATTTCCATAGCGATGACGTAGCGCTACAGAGATCCGTTCAGTGGCCCTGATTGGTTGTTGCTTGCGCATGAAAATTTGCTACCTAGCAACAGCCAATAACAAAACTACAGTTATCTTTTTTAAAGCTACGTCATCAGGTTCGTCATACCCTGAGATTTGCTCTGTAGGATTTTTAATCTGTACAGTTGGTAACTCAGAGGTAATGTTTTATGTTGAGCTTAGAATTGTGTTTACTAAGCTTAACATGAGTTCCCTCCTCGGAATTCTCTATGTCATTATAATGTTACAAAATGTAGCTAATAAGATGATTGATAAACGCCATCGCAATAATGATCTTTTTTTTGTCTGTTGATTACTTTTCAGGATTGATTAAGTTTTACCTGACGGAGAAAGTGAAACGAGAGGAAGTTTGGTTTATTGTGGAATACTTGAGTTGCGTGACAGATCCTGAACAAATCACAGAAGTTTTAGACGTTCTCATGTCACTTTGTGAACGAGCGTCCAAGAGTAAGATGGCCAAACGACTCTCAGGTATTCACGTTAGCAGAAGAACTGTAAAAAGCTGTGGACAAGTCGGAGTCTCTCTCCTCCGAAGAGGCTTAAAGGGTTTTTTCGGGTGGGGAGAATCTGCTGAGCAATGAGTGCAGGCGAAGGATACGCGAAGGGCGATGAACCTGCACTCACCTCGCACAGCGGATTTCTATAATGAACGTTCGAACCTCTTCGAGAGAGCCAACTTCAACTTTTTTCAACTTTTTTATTGTTGCGCACCATTTTCAGAGTTAATTTACATCAGTATTATAAAATAAATATGAAAAGAGAAATGTATGTTACATATGGCTATGGAAGGAATAAAAAATATGGCGTGGTAGCCAGAGTGGCTATTGGCTTTCGAGCTGATTACCACCATGTTAAGGTAATTGTGGTGGAACAAAAGTACATTACAGAAGAACGCAGTACTGAAAATGCATTACTAAAAGTTCATTACAGAAATGCACACCAAGCCGCACACCGTGTTAAAAGTTAATCTAGCAGAAAAGTTAAAATCGTTTTTTATCAAATTAATTCTCCTTAGCGATTCACGTACCCATCTTTTAATGGTTCTTCTGTTTTTTCGTGTTTTTCTCCAGATCCCAGACACATCCCAGTTTTTGTCACTCTACTCATCAATAACAGAAACGAAGATCTTCGTCTCAAGATCCTCAAACTGATGGCCGACGTCATAGCGTCTCAAAACGTCCCTGAGGGCAACAGAAGCTACTGGCATCTAAAACCTATAGGGTTCTCAGCGATGACAAAGCTCCTTTCGGATGACGCCTCTGAGCCCCTCATACAAAGTCTCGTCAGGCTGGCCGTGTCTGAGCACGATGCAAACAAAGGCGTTGATGTGTTGATGCACTATCACGTGGTACTTGCCGTGCTGGAATTGCTTGAGAACATGGGACTGGAAACGAAGCTGTTTGTGAGTCACATGGTAAGGGAAGAATCCTTGTTGGCTTTCCGTTCGACAAAAATTTCGGTTTGAATTTCCAGAGTTCCCAGTGGCGAAAAGGACGGCGTGTTCTATTGAAATATAGATTATAGTGCTGCAAGGATAAATAACAAAATTACAATATTTAGAGAGGAAGCCACATCAGCCTTATCTGGTTTTCATGCAGGTCCTCTATCCTGATCGAATTAGAATTTGGAGATGTTGGTTTTTGTGGAGGGAGGAAAACCGGAGAACCCGGAGAAAAACCCTCGGAGTAAGGAGAGAACCAACAACAAACTCAATCCACATATGACACCGGGCCGAAATCGAACCCTGGCCACATTGGTGGGAGGTGAGCGCTCTCACAACCGCGCCATCCCTGTTCCCCAAAATTGTATTTTCAGTTGCTCTTGGTAACATTCTTTACATTTATATTCAGATTTATGTTGGTGGGAATCAGTTCTTGTACTAATAAAGTAATACCTTTGTTGTTTTTAAGATTCTGCGATCAATTGATGCTAACCATGTTAGCCTATCACGGTGCGCTAAGGAGTTTGGGTGGCATGTGACGCTGCTCAGACTGATCACGGGCCCATTTGGTGCGCCACGATGTACTAGTGACGTAGATGAGCAGAATGGAAGTGTCCTTGAAGAAAGAAGAAGGAGTGAAGAAGATTTGATCGACACTGTATTGGAAATCGTGTTCAGAGTGATGTGGAGAGGTGTAGAGGGCTTTGGAGAAAGTGACTGGAGGGTAAAAAATTAGTTATTAAAACTACACTGATTATAAGGCTGGCACTATTGCTATTCAACAATTAGACTATGAGCGAATAGTCAATGAGGCGTAGCGTTGTGTATTCTAAGTCTAAAATGAAGAAGAATTTTCAATTTCAAGAGCAGCACGCACACGATCGTTGTCTATCAGCAATTATTATAAATCTACTAGCGTTCTATCACGAATGCCGTTCTCTGATTGGCTACGTTACTCACTATCTATTCCTTGATAAATAGTGAGTAGCATAGCAGTGTGCGCTTGTTAACAAAATGACGGCTGCTTCTTGACGTGTTTGAGATGTCTGTGAGGAAGATTTAGATAAAGGTTTGAACGACTAGTAGATGTATACTAAAACAATTAGATTATGACTTACAATTAGATTATTGACTTGGGCTGCGCCCTGGTTAACTATCACGCGATATAAATCTCGAGCTCACAATCTGATTGTTAAATAGAAAATGATGAGAGAACCAATCAGATTCACGGATTTCCAATAGAACCCAGCTCAGTGGGTACTAATGGTTATTAGAGGGAATGTACGGGAACGTTGAACACAATTGCTAATTCCTCGGCAGTTGACTTGCACGGTTCCTTTCCAGGTGCGCGGTCAAGCTATAGCGGCAGTGAGTATAATTTCCTCTGCTGAGACCTTTTTGGTCCCTCATCGTGTCATTGAGAGGCGCCTTCTGGAGCTTTGCCTGCAGGGGGCCGTTCATGACATCAAGGTGTCCGGACAGACAGGCGAATCTGAGACCCATAATGCGCTAATGGTGATGCGCTTGGTTGAAGATTTCATCTTTACTCCAGGTAAATTTATCGTTTAAAAAAAGCCTGATATTTGCGTGCAAGCTTTTCCCAGATGAATTGTAAACTGATTAATTTTTTTATTTTTCAAGTGCAATTTTATTTACAGGACGAAAACTTACACTAGTTACAGTACTAATTTTATACTTACATTTACACTTATACTGACACTGTACTACACCGTATTAATTTATCGTCAACCATTCCGCTAAGCCCCCTGCGATAGTAAGTACAATATGTCCGTATGTGAAGAGAAGTAGTAAAAATGAAGTATTTCTGAGCATTTGAGAGCACTTTTTCGTACAAGTTGGCATTACGTTTTTTCGTGCCAGCCATAAGTCGCATGATTTCTGTCATTATATTGGTTGCTTGTTTTCCCGCGTTTGGCATCGCCTAAATATTTTCCCGCGCTCAGCAACGCTTACATGTTTTACCGCACTTGGCAACATTTTCCCGCGCTTGTTGCCGGCTGCATGTTTTCGTTGCTTGCTACTTACGTGTTCCTTCATAGTGATTTTTGCCACAAGTTTCAGCGCAGTCCTCAAAAATTAAAGGTGTTTTATAGTAGTTAATATGTACGGTACTCATAAGAATCTCCTGGTTTTGTTTTTCTTTGCTCAGCTGCCATTGCTGGAGCGGGATCAGAAAATGAATCAGACACTTGGAGCGTAAAGGTAAGACCACTTCCCCCGGGCCTACAAAGTTTATTCTCCCACCCGTATTTGCTCATCAATAAATGGAAACTCCGGAGTTCTGTAGACTAGACGGGTGAGAGGCAAACGCTTGGTGTCTTCAAGACAAGTGCATTTATTTAGCAATGAGTAGAAGTTCTGTGTTAGAATTTAGAAATGTTAGAATTTAGGTGCTATTGAAAAACGCATAAAATCTCTAGAAAATGGAACAAGGAAGGTAAATATGTGGGAAAATAAAGACGGATTACGACAGGCAAAACTTAAAGTTTTGGTTAAGTATTTAAGAATCGCCATCCACGTGCACCATTCCACTACGACATTCCTGTAAGGCTTTTTTTCACAAGTTGTACAGACGTTTTTTTTCCTTCATCAGCTTGTTGAAAATGTCGTGCTTCTTCTTGAAGTATTAAACGTCTGGGATGAGAACGAAGAAAACGTGGAATGGGAGGAAATGGCTCAGGTGGGAATGCGGATTCTTTTGGCTTTCATTGCTCGTCCGGAAACAGAATATTGTGCTACTGCCTCGTCCAAGCTTAGCAAGCTCTTAAAGGCCCGGATTAATACGTCACAAGGAGAGCTTTGTTACACTCTAGGTCGATTACATCAAGCTTTTGTCGCGTCAAGAGGAAAAGGTAAAAACCTCACTGTTGCACTATCATATACTGTGCTTTGCGAGAGGATGTGAAAACAGGGTACTTTCAGTGCTTTTTTACACACTTTATGATACACACTTTAAAAGTATAGGTTCTGAAAAAAACAATATTCATAGTTCTAGAAAACATTTTGTGTTATGACTCTTTGCAAAACCCACATAAACGATGTTGGTTATTCACAAAACGCACACATCGCAGGCATGCTCGAAACGAATACCTTTGGAACAAATAACAAAACTTTCGGACTGAGACAAGTTTGACCATTAGTTAGTCTGTCGTATATTCTCTTTCGTTTCTTGGTTGCTTGATTGTTTCTGCCTGGTATACTGTGTTTGGGAGGCGCGGTGGCCTCATGGTTAGTGCGCTCGTTTCCGGATCTAGCGGTCCGGGTTCGAGCCCTGGCCGAGGACATTGTGTTGCATTCTTGTGCAACCTACAATGCTTTCACAGTGAGTCTCTTGCACCAGGTGTATAAATGGGTGCCGGCGAATTTAATGCTGGGGGTAACCCTGCGACGGACTAGCATCCCATCCAGGGGGGAGTATAAATACTCCTAGTCGCTTCATGCTACAGAAACCGGGATAAGCTCCGGCCTGATGGACCACTAGGCTAGTAAGCAGACTTTACTATACTGTGTTTTCTATGACATGATTTGTTCAATTTTTTTAGCCGAGTGTCGCAATTACACCTTCATCGTGCCCGTTGTTCGCGTGTTGCTCCTCAAGTACCACTATACCTTACCGCTGATCATCTACATGCCTACGTTCTCCGCCGCTGACTGCGCCCAACTGCAGGCTCAGGAGGATTTTCTGGAGCTGATGGAGAGTGAAGAATTTAAGGCCATGATGAAACAGCAGATATACCCTGGAATGAAACAGTACGAAAACACCTTGTAAGTTGGTTAAATTACCAAGTTACCGTAACATTTCGAAAATAAACCTTGAGTCGTTTTTCTTGCTTGTACATGAGCGTATTGCAACGATATAAAATTGAAAACTCTACATTAGGAGCCTGCAAGCAGAAGATCTGATATCATTCAGTGCGACCTAGATCTCCAAGACCCTATTTACCAGTTGGAAACAATAATGATGATGATGACGAAATTTCAGGGATGAAGCACGAACTAACCAATAGAAATTCTCGATTCCCTAGGCATCAATCCCAAAATACAATGCATGGTTTAAATTTGTGTTGGGGAAACTACCATACAAAAAACAATCAGTTATTTTTCTCTCTTGATGCCAGCATTTTAAATTGGCACATAGAGACACTACTTGCTATCGTTTTTTTTTTTTTCAGCTCAGAGTCAACTTTAGCCTCAGGTCGCTTCTGGATGGATTGCCTCACAGGTCTGACAGAAAGCTTGAAAAACAAAGACAAAGCTGAAGAGGAAAGCCGTGAGAAGTTTGAAGAACAAATTACGTGGCCATTTAAACAACTTCAAGATTCACAGCGAGAACACGTCAAGAATTTGCCAAAGGAACAAGAACACCACAGGAGTGATGTGGCTCGACAGTGGAAAATGTTGAAGAGAATGTTGATGTCAGAAAGATCTCCATGGGGGAGGAGGTGAGACAAGCTTTGACTCCCAAGAATGATTAACCTTTAATTTCTCCCAGTAGAATCTATACATAATCAGGCATAAATGTTATAAGAATTTATCTTCAAACGAGCTCTTCTTGATGGCTAGACAAATTCCTACAACGATGTTATGAGGAATGTCCGGGGGTCTGCAAGGAGAATGTGTTTGTTCAGTGATATTAAGATGAAATCCGATAACAAATCGAGTAATTTCAACTTTTAGTGGACAAAACCCTTGTACCAGAGCAATTTTAGGTATTTTGCTGTCCTTGTTACATGTTCGTAAAGCTAAAGATATAAATAGCTGCCTGAAATAATTTCTTAAGGGAACTCGCGAAAATGAATTTCAAAGTTTAGAGAAATTGTGCAAATAAAGGTAAAATTTCACTATCAGTTTCATTTCACCAGTACTTCCAAGTGCTTAGAAATTCAAAATTTGTTATGTTAGAAATGATTTCTAACAACAAATGAAGATATTTAAAACAGTCGCACAGAAGTTTGAAATACGATGTAAATAATCTCGGCACAAAAGTTTTGTCCTCTTGTGACTCGAACTTCTGGTGGATTCCATCTAAGTCTTCTTTATTCCCGCAAAGCGTGTTTGGATGTTTTAACCTTTATTACTAGTTGTTGACCAGTTTGCCTGTCCTACAGGTTACAGGAATCGCACTGGAAACTCTCTTCCACAGAGAACTTTCACCGCATGCGCCTCAAACTGACACAAAACTATTTATTTACGCTTCATACCGAAGCTAGTCGCGCGCGTGACAACGCGGACACGCGAGACTCGCGCGAAGCTTCCGTGCCCGTGCTTGTCGCGAAAGAGGCTGTTGTACAAAACGTGGACGAGGACGTTCTTGAAGTCGAGGATCCCGGAAGTCCAGTTGGTAAAGAGAGGCAACGGACAATTTCGGAAACAGAAAAACCAGTTTTGGGTGAGGTTTGTGAACTAATAACACTTATGGATATTGTCCCTGGGAAGCTGGAGATCACCACTACGCATGTCTACTTCTATGCGGATGAGACCGCTGGTCAGGATTTTCAATGGCCGTTGAGCGAGCTGAGAGAAGTCCATTTAAGACGGCACAATCTTAGAAGAAGCGCTCTTGAGTTCTTTTTGATTGATCAGACAAATTACTTCTTAAACTTCAATAAGGAGGTATTTGACACAACCTGTTCTCTTCTCTTTGATTGAAAATTGTGTTTAATAGTTCCTGTGCGCGTTATGTTACTGCATTTGTTCAAAATTGACTCTCAAAAATCACTTTCACGCAATTCTTTTTACACCCTTGGCACTCCATGCAGTCTCTATGTTGCTTTACTTTTCATATTTCCGATATTTGTTAGGTGAGGTGAATTTAGCGTAATTATAAATTAGAGTTATTTTTCCCCACCCCTGCCTTAAGAGTTTGTGTTTCATCTCGAACTGACCTTAGACAGTTATTTTGTATTGGTTATTGGAGAGCGCTCTCCTCCCACCAATGTGGCCTGGGTTCGATTCCGGCCCGGTGTCATATGTGGATTGAGTTTGTTGTTGGTTCTCGCCTTGCTCAGAGGGTTTTTCTCCGGGTTCTCCGGTTTTCCTCCCTCCACAAAAACCAACATCTCCAAATTCCAATTCGACCAGGATAGAGGATCTGCATGAAAACCGGATAAGGCTGATGTGGATTTCTCTCTAAATATTGTTATTTATTTTATTTATTTATTTCGGCTCTTTGTGTTAGACCCGCAACAAGGTTTATAAGAAGATTATGTCCCTACGGCCCCGTAATCTGTACTACATTGGTGCGAGATCCCCAGCGAACTTACTCAAGGCGTCAGGGCTCACAGAAAAGTGGGTACACAGAGAGATATCCAATTTTGAGTACCTCATGCAGCTGAACACCATCGCTGGAAGAACCTACAACGACCTGAGTCAGTATCCAGTGTTCCCTTGGGTCCTTGTGGACTATGACTCAGAAGAGTTACGTCTTGATGACCCTGCCGTGTACAGGGACCTTTCCAAGCCCGTAGGGGCACAGAATCCAAATAGAGTACAATCCCTACGAGATAGGTATGTTGTTTTACCTTGGTAAATAGATGGACGAAATGAATGTACGGACTATTGTGATCTCTCTATTGGTTTTCCAAACTTCTTAGCCAATCACAGAGCTGACTGAAGCTTATTCCGGTTGTCATTTAAAAACTAGGGGTATTTCTGCTCCAACCTGCCCCTAGCATTGAATTTGCCGGTACCCATTTATACACCTGGTTGGAGAGAGGCACTGTGAGAGTTAAGTGTTTTGCCCAAGAACACAACACGATAACCCTGGTTGGGGTTCGAACACGAACCATTCGATTTGAACTCAAACGCCCTAACCATTAGGCTAATTTAACGAACATGGCAAATTTCCTCTACGTAAGTGACATTATAGTCTTGCCCGTAATATGCGGTTGTTTGTTTTTTGGTTGCCAGGCAATTTTAAAAGACACTAAAAAGACGCCAAAGAGCTGCAAGTGCGTCTGTTACCTAATCGGCAGAAGAAGTTTGGAAAACTAACTAAAAGATGCTATTTGAGGTTTCAAGTAAACTTTTCCTTGTCGCCACATATCTATTTTCCTTTCAGCTTGCAGCTTATGCGAACAATTTTCGCACTCAATCTGTTCTGTTAAAATTTCACGGAACATACCTTTCCATCCTCTTCTCTTTAGGTACGACACCTTTGAAGATCCATGTGGACTAGTCGCCAAATTTCACTACGGTTCACATTACTCAAGCTCCGCAGGCGTTCTTCATTACATGCTCCGCGTGGAACCCTTCACCACACTTCATGTTAAACTTCAGAGCGGACGGTTTGACTGCGCAGACAGACAGTTTCACAACATCTCTTCCTCGTGGGATTCAATTTACTCCAAAGGCGGCGATGTTAAAGAGCTTATACCTGAGTTTTTCTATTTTCCAGATTTCTTGGTCAACTCTAACAGGTATAATTAACAATTAGCTCGAGATTTCTATGAGGTGATAGTCGATGAGGCCGAAGGCCGAATCAGCTATCACTTCATAGAAATCGAGAGCGAATAATCTAATCGTTTTGGTAGAATTTCTAGTAGAAGTCGCATAACGGGCAGTTTCCTTTATTTACGGTTCTTGAGAATTCATATATCCTGTAGTATTTCTAAATCTTCCTTGAAACTGTAGAGAAACTAGAAAACGTTGCCATTATGTGGACGACCTCTGGCCACTGCTCTCTTAAGGCCTGTCCAAA